TATATATATTGTGATATGAAAAATACAAGAATGTATTTTTAGAATTAACCATTCTAGAATGAGTTGGGTGATTTTGTTCTGTAGTGCAAAATATAAATAGTAATAATATATATATATTTTTCCCTTTAGGTCTGCACAATTTGAGAGAATCTTTTTTTTTTTTTAATTTGGTTCTTCACACTTGTGTTTACTTATTACAAAATCCAACTAAAACCTCTTTCAGTAACTATAAAGTGAAGTTTTAAAAATCACTCTCCGATAAGTTTTCACAGGGCACTAGGGCTATCAAAATGGCTGAAAAACTAAATTCGAATTTTGTACTTAAATATTATCAAAATTCGAATTATATTTGAATTTTAAACGCATAATTTCAGTTAGGCTGAAGAAAAGCTTTTGGATTCTCTCCTGAGGCCACAAGAGGGCGCATCGAGCAAAATATTACTAATACACGTACTCAAAGCATAAGATAACATGACTATCTGTGAAAAAAGTGCATAATGTTTAAAATAATGTTTATAAACCAATTACAATTAATTAAGTTGCTTAAACAACTATAAACAAAACAGCATCATGTATGTATGCATAGTTTAATACAAAGGGCGCGAAAGCCAATCACACAGAGTACATTTTTCACGAGTTGCAGTGGGATGGGGAAAAAAACCCCGCCATAAAGGCTCGAGATATGTTTTTTCAAAGTTGAACTTGCATTCATTTTACATGGCTTTCTAAACATGCGGCTCTTTTGTGCGAGACGAGAGTGCAACGGTAATAGATGTCCCTCTAGAAAATGACCGAAATATGTGTTCTGTGTGAACGGTTTGGTTTCAGTTTTGATGTAAACAAGATCTTCTCTGCATTGATGTTCTCTTTTCCCGCAATATTTGTCATTAACGCAGCAGCGCCGCATCTAGTGGGTTCAACTGGATAGGCTAACAAAAACATTAAAATGCAATTACACTTACATCATCGCATCTCGTGCGCCACTGATAAGGCTGCCTCCTTAACGCACACCTATTCGCAAAGTTTTTGTATTCGAATGTGTATTTTTATTTTAAATTCGACGAATATTCGAAATTCAAACATTTTTTTGACAGCCCTAGAGGGCACATTCCCACTGTTTTTGACCAATCCTATAACATATTAGAACTACAACATAATAATAATAGTGAATTTATTGTGATTACTAATACAAAATATATTAAATCATATATTGTAATGCTGTAACTTCTGAAAATGTAAAAAAAAATGTTTTTAATTATTTTTAAGGATTATATATAATTAAATACATCACATAAAATTACAATATTAATATTTAAGTCTTAATTTCTTCAGTTTTTAAACTTTCAACCATCAAGCTTTTATTTTGACAAGTCACCTGCAAAGTATACATACATATACATACATACAACAGAGCAGTTGAGCCATTTAAAAAATTAAGTGATAAAGTGAAAAGTATGTCATTATTGGACATCACAGCTTACCAAAGTCTACCCTGGTTAGTATGCACTGCATTGGGTGCTCCGTGGTGTGTCTAGTGGTTGTGGCTCCACTTTCGTAGCAAGATGCACAAAGGTCGTAGTCGTAGCAAATTAAACACTTGTATCGGCGCCCTCTGAAGTTCCCTTTTAAACATGCATCACAGCTCACACCTGTGGGAGAACACGGAGGCATTTAACTCAGAACAACAGCAGAAGCCTCTAATGAAGACCCCGATCGCATTTATCACAAACACTGTTTGCCTGGTTAGTTTCTATCCATTCTGGAAAAAAAAATAAAAAATCAACATTTCACATGACTCGCATCAGACACCAGGGCAGAAAACTCATTCAAAGCAGCTCTGCCTTGTGTGTGTGTGTGTGCACAACAGGAGGAAATCATATCACAGCACTGACCACTAGATTTTTTTGACATTTGGACAGTGGACTAAAAGATGGTCAAATTTACACTGTCAAATAAATGAACAAGGACATGGCACATATTGTAACTCTCAAACTAGGGCTGTGCATAATATAATCAAAGCAGAGATGCACCGATTGCACTTTTCTTGGCCGATTCAGATTTCCGGTTTTTTTTTGTTAGTGTGATCTGCCGATACCGATTTTTGCCAATTCCAATTTTCTTTCTAAGAACTATAATTGACAGCATATACAAACAAAAATCTACTTTTCTTCAACGCAAAGTTTTATTTTCATAAAAAAACAAGTAAAAAGTCAGTAACACAAAAAAATTGCTTTTCAAAAAAAAAACTTCAAAAAAAAAAAAGGTTTTCAGGTTAAGTAAGTTTTTATTCAAGTAAGAAATACTACAGAAATGAAAGTAATCAAATGTAAAATAACATCCAGTGTTATTTTACATTTGATTACTTTCATTTCTGTAGTCTTACATTTACATTTAGTCATTCAGCAGATGCTTTTATCCAAAGCGACTTACAAATGAGGACAAAAAAAGTCTTCATTGTAAAAATTAAATACAGTTTAATGCTTACCGGGCCTGTTTACACCTGGTCATTTCATGCGTTTTCGCTGATCGGATTTCTATCTGATTTAAAACGTTTCCACATAAATGTGTCGTCGCAAAACTGATATAAATCCGATCTTCAATTCCCGTGCTATATTTAAATTTAATGGAGTTCACGTCAACAAAATCAAAAGATAAGCGCTGCATTTTATTAATTATCAGCTCATTTCAAGATCAAAGACCGCAATAGGGGAGCGCGCGGCATCAGCACTGGAAAGATAAGTTTGTCTTACTACTTTTAATGAAAATGATTGTGTGTTGACCGTCTGCGTCTTACTTTCAGTTTCATTCGCAGCAGTTTGCACGTCGGCTTGCTGAAGAGATACTCAGCTACTCGTCCGTAGCGATGTGTGTTGCATTAGCGCAGTCTGACTAATGTCATATAGCCTATAATACGCTCTCACACGTTTATTATTTTATCATTTTGGGAGGAATAAAATTTACATATGTGGTTTCAACAACCATATGCATTTACACTTGTCCAGTTTCGTCTGGAATGCGGCCCAGACCACCTCCTGAAGTGGTTTGAGCGATCGGATTTATATCCGTCTCGAATGCGTTTCGGAGGGCATTTACACCTGGTCTTT